AAACGCGGCTTGCTTCCCGAAGCGCTGTGCTGTAGGTGCCCGGGGATTTTCTGTCGCACACCCCACGGCCTGTCACGGAAGCGGTCAGTCGGTGATGACAACCATTTGCGACCTCCCGGAAGATGTCCTGGTGGAGCTGTTCTCGCAGCTCCCAGCCCGGGATCTGGTCTGCACCTGGGGATGTGGTGGACCTGGTCACCCTATGGAAGCGCAAGTGCCAGCGTGAGGGGTTTTATATCCCAAGTTTGGACAGGAGCATCTCTGACTGGAAGGCCTTCTATATGCTCTGCAACTTGAAGAGAAATTTAATCAAAAATCCCTGTGCTGAAGGTTTGTTTAATTATTTATAATAGAGGGTTAAGAGTTTCCCAACAGTCAGGATGTGGTGGACCTGGTCACCCTATGGAAGCGCAAGTGCCAGCGTGAGGGGTTTTATATCCCAAGTTTGGACAGGAGCATCTCTGACTGGAAGGCCTTCTATATGCTCTGCAACTTGAAGAGAAATTTAATCAAAAATCCCTGTGCTGAAGGTTTGTTTAATTATTTATAATAGAGGGTTAAGAGTTTCCCAACAGTCAGAATGAGTCAGTGGCCTGCATGACTCGAGTACTGCTGGTGTGGTGGGACTGGGCGGCTACTGATGCATCTCTGCTGGCTCCCATCCACAAGCAAACATCCAGACAACTCTCAGAAGTTACTAAGGCCCCAGCAGCCAGTGACGGTTAATTTGCACAGTATGTACAACATGGTCATGAAACTATCAAGTATCAGGATTAAATATTCAGGCAGCTAGGGAAACTTTGTTGTCAAAGACTTGACTAATATGACTGCAGAAGCTGTACTTTATTACTGACTGAGTTTCTTATGCTGTTAGAAAGTTGCTACCTAGTTGTGGTAGCTGCTGACAGCTACATTAAAAGCAATGGCAACATAAAGACAGGAGTCACTTCCAGCTGTAGAAAGATACACTGTACCTGAATACTCATCGAGTAGGTTCCTAGTATTCTTTGTAGCCAAAATCTAGCAAAGATACTGCTGGAAATGGAAGTGAGGTCCTAACGCTTATCTCTGGTACCTATGTTTTTAGAGAATTTTCAGCACTGGAAAATTGATAAGAACAATGGAGACAACTGGAAGATTGAGAAACTACCTGGAGCTCATGGAAGAGAGATGCCAGACCCCAAAGTACACAAATACTTTGTCACTTCATATGGGTAAGAACTGGATTCCAGCAATCTGGACCTGGGAGACCTGCTTCCTCCTCTGTCTGCAAAGGCACTACGGGCTCAAAGGCTTGAGGCAGGTCACTGACCCTTAGCCCATGTGTGGGAAAAGGAAGAAGCTTAATTGACCTTTTATACTAGTTCATCTAAAGAGGCGGGTGTATGGCTGAAAGAATTAACTGCAGTATGTACTAAATTTCTCTGTCCTTAGCAGGAATTTTCTGTAACTTTTTTGTATTCATGATAATCCACTTCCTTCTGGCAAAGGTTAACATTTGACAAGCTTACCTGACAAAGTCAAAGCTCTGTAACCTCTAAGAGTGGTAGGTGTGGTTGTCATGCTTGCAATAAAATCTGTCAGCAGTAAAAGCAGTAGTTTCCTGTTACCAATATGTGCTATACAAGCACAGGCACCCCTCTTAATCCAGTTTGTAGGTAACCACTGTTCTTTAGCTTCACCCCTAGGTAAACCAGTTAATTTCCTTCTCTAGTTCTGGCTATAGAAAAAGGCATGCCTCAGCCTTGCAGGCCCTCAAGGTTGGGATGGGCTTTTGGGGAAAGTGTGGACACTGAGAAGGAAGAGATGCATTTTGTGAAGTTGTGAATATTTCTATTGCTGTTGCAGGCCATGCTTCAAGTCTCAACTCATTACCCTGCAGAAAGAAGGATATTGGAATCAGTTGATGGATGAGAAACGGCCTGAAATTGTAGTAAAGGACTGGTAAGTGCATGCACTGAAAAACTGGAATTTCTGCTTTAAATTTTTATGCTATAAAATTAGTTCATCTTTTTGGAGTTGTAGCTCTTGAGTAAAGCATAAGCTAAATCTAAGTGTATTCCATGGGCTGTAAGGAGGTGGCAATCCTGTGAAGAGCAAGATAGCTGGAAGTTTTAGAACTTCTTCATAGCTATGGGGATGACATCCCTTGTCCTCTGCAGATGGCGATCCCCTTGGAGACTGTTTGTGAACACTAAAGGAAACTAATGCTGTACATACAACCTGCTTCATGATTACTCCCTGCCTCTCTAGGTATGCTGCCAGATTTGACTGTGGGTGCCGCTACGAAATCACAGTGAGATTGCTTTCTGAAGACTACATTGTCCTTGAGGAGTTCCACCCCGAGCCAGTGGTTATAGAGCAGTGGAGTGACGCAAAGTGGCACGAAGTAAGCAGCAGCCCTGTGGGCAGTAGCTTTACATCAGTATTGTGACACTTGAATCTTGCAAGCCTTATCTGGCCAGAAGTCCCAAGTGGCCCTACCTCCTCTACACAAAGCAAAAGCTAAGTCAGTCCTTGCTGTGGACAATGCTGAAGCAGCAGTAGTGTCATGAAAGGGCTAGGTTTGGTTTGTAGGTGTGCCCAGTGTTTTCTAAAGAGTTACCCCCTTGGCTTCTGTGTTATTGTAGCTCAGTCGCTTTAATTGTTTTTCACTTAAGTTTTTGTCTAAATGACCAAGCTACAAGAACACAGCTCTTTTTTTATTGGATCAAAAAAGCTTTGTTTTAAAACTACTGCATGGATGTAATTTTAAGTTTTGCAGACATTACTTCCCAAACTGCTAAACATGTTTTAACTGGTTTGACTGGCTGTAGATGCCCCATTACACTGTTGCTTACAAGACAAATGTAGTCAAGAATCAAGCTTACTATTATGTTTGACTCAAGATCAAGACTCACATAGTGTAGTTGTCTGAGCTTCTTGATCAGTGCTAGTTGTATTTAAGCAAATTAAGAAGAATTTTCTCTTGTCTTTTCAGATGTCTCACACCTTCCAGAATTACCCAGCTGGAGTTCGTTACATCTGGTTTCAGCATGGAGGCCAAGACACCCAATTCTGGGCAGGATGGTACGGGATCCGAGTGACAAACAGCAGCATCACCATTGGCCCCCGCACATTGTTTTGAAGGCACAATATAAGTGTTTACTTTTACCTCAGGACTGTAATCAGGTGGTCTCAGGTGCACTTGTTTGTCTGTACTCTCTGGGTGAGTGTCCTGGCTTCGTCTTGCCCAGCTGATCTCAAATACAAGCAACCAGTTCTTGTTCACAGCAGAACTTCTGCAGACCCAGCCCTTTGGAAGGACTTGTGTCTTCATTTTTCATCCTGTACCATGGATGTTACTGCAGTTACTCATGTCCTTCCACAGGAGGAAGACTAGGACAGTTAAATATGACATCTCTCTTTTCTAGTTAATATGTCCTTATGCTACAGCCAAACACTGAGTCTTAAATAGAAACCCCTTCTTACTTGTTTATGGAACTTATGAAAGAATAAGGCTAAAATGTTTCATTTCAGATTATCAATGCTGTCCTCAAGGGCTCTGCTACAGAGAGACTTTTGTATGGTATTCTCCTGTTTCAGTTTATGTATAAAAACATGTATTTTGAACTCCAGAAGAGATTTTTTTTTTTTTTTGCCATGAGATCAATCGGCCAGTGGAATAATCTCCCAGGGGAACTGGTGGATTCCCCTATATTGGTCAGTTTTAAGGGTGAGTTTGACAGGGTGCTGACTCATTTAAACTGTACTTTTACCTTAGGTTGGACTAGATGATCTGTGTGGTCCCTTCCAACCTGGTATTCTATCTTTCACATCAGACCTCTTATAGCATAAGGAAACTGTCAACCCTTTTTCATAAATGCTGTGTCACTGCCTTTTAGATACTTACAGAAATGGTAAGGAATTACCATCAAAGTGTTATATGCCTTCCCTGTCCAAATACAGCCCACCATTGCTTGAATAAACAGCTAGAGAAAGAGGAGATAAATCCCATAAGGTTTGTAAGATAAGTGCCTTTTGATTGTGCTGGGCTTTTTCCATGCTACCTTTACTACCAAAGTACTTGGTGTGTACTGCACAGTCTAACCCTATATAAAATGTTAAAGCAATGCACACCTTGATCTAATGTATTCTTGCACTTTTTCCTTGAAAGCAGGGAGGTACTTTACTGGCTGTCTTATCAAATGCTCTGACCAACAAGCTCAGCTCAAATACTATGGACAATGTCTTCTACTCCTGTATGCATAGAGCCAAGACTAAGGTGTCCCCCATCTCCTCTGACAGGTGTAGAATTAAGTGTCATTTTTCTGTTCCCTGTTAGGAGTAGAACATTTGGCAAGTGTCCTTGCTGGACAGACTAATTCCACCTTGCTAATGCCACTTAGGGGTGAAAGCTCTCCCATGGAATGGGGAGAGGCCAAGGTTGTTGGTGCCTCATAGGAGTGACAGATCTCACATATGTTCCAGAAAAGGTATGGAAAAGTGGTGGAAGCTTCACATTAAATACACAGGTCCACACAAAATAGAAATACTTCCTCACTTAAAGGGAGAGGCTGGTTTGGACAGAACTCAGCCTAGGTCAAGTAGGGTAAAACTTAGTATTTATTGAAGAGTATTTGGGACAGTCACAGTGGACAGACACTATGTAAGGCCTCACTCACCCTTAGTAGGAGTCCATTGCTCTGGTGGAGCACGTAACAGATCGCGGTATGTCACTACCAATGTGCAATGGAGATGCTCTGTTAAGGTGAGAACTCGATTTGTAGAAAGCGCTGACTGCACACTGCAGTTGGCTACATCCTGCGCCCAGGGGTGCACTGGAACAAAACCTCTACTCACTCTCACACATGAGCGTACAGGGAACAGGCTCTGGCTCCACATTCCAAGTCAGTTCTATATACAGTGGTAAGAGCACTTGAAATAAAGAGGCAGCAACTGCTCTACATTCACCCAGAAGGCCAGCTGATATCAAGGTATGGTTTGTGAGATCTCTTATTCCACTGGAAGATCAGATGAGGCTTGAAGGCAAGGAAGCTTTGAAATCAGGTGCCCTTGTGGGCTCGTTCTTCTACATACAGCTGCATCTGGAGGAGAGAAACAAGTATCGGTTCTGTTTGATATGAAGGTAAGTGAATGGGAAAACAACATCTACAACAAGCTACACAGGAAGAGTTTGTACCTTCCCTATAACCAGATTTCCTGTTTTATTATGAGGAATCGCGCCCTGTTTTCATTACTGGCACAGACATCTGCAAGACTAAGTTACTGCTCAGCAATATTAAAACTGTTGCCCTGCAAAAAACTGTAGAGCTGGCATCAGAGTAGACAAAGCCTAGAACTACATCCAGCTTCAGCCACCTCTGCAGCCAGAATGCACTGCTCACCTTTAAGATATCAGATGTCATAGTTTTCAGGGGAATAAGCCGGGGGTCATGCATGTGCACGTCTTGTTCATCAGCGAGGATCCATGGGAAATCCTAGGGCAGGAACACAAGGTGATTTATTTGCAGAGAGCCTGGCAGACTGCAAGGTGAGCTCTCTCTTTCTCAGCACTAGGCCAGCATTAAGTGACTGAGATCCTAGTGACTGACGGAAGAAGCGGGTCACTCAAACCTTTCATAACAGCAAACTGTAACACTTACATGCTTGGGCCCAAGACTTGGCATAATTATCTTCAGTTACAGCATCAAACTAATGTTAAGGCACTTCACTTATTCCAAAGGCAACCTCTCACTTTAAAAAAATAAGCTCTTAGCTAGCATGTTCCATTCATTACACCAGCATTTAACTACAACTCCAGAATGCTCAGGGTGTGGGTTTCTGTCCTGCTTTGCAAGTTTAAAGGTTGGCCTACTGTACTACCAGTTTCCATTACTAAGCAGTACGCAGCAGACTTCCATTTTAGAACAGTTTTATACTTCCCCAGCTTTATTAATTGTGCCTTAGGACACCCAAAATAACTTGAGTCCAGGGAAAAAAGTTTCCCTGAAACTAAGCAAGAATTCTTAACAAAAAAAAAAAGTCTTGCTTTAAAAAGTGATCTGCACACACTTTCCTGCAAGATAAAATGCATTTGTGTACCCAAAACTCACTAGTTACTTGAATCTTGGTCTTCCTTGCTATTTATAAAGAATCAGCAGCCATCCAGACGTAGTGGATGTGGGATGAGGGCTTTTTTTCCTGTTGCTTAAATTCAAGTACCTATTCTATATGTCAGAGTACTTTAAAGTGACTGAGCAGGCGTTACGCAGTAAGTATTGTTACAATCTAATTCAGGTACTGAAGCAGCTATTATCTGCAACTGTGGCTGGTGTGTGGTGAATGTGCTCAGAGTAAACCATTTGAACACATTCAAAGCAAAGTTGTGAAGTGCACCTAGTGGCCTTAACCTCAGCGATGCAGAAACGCTGTAATTTCCAGACTTTGCTCTGCAGCTTGCTCACACACAATCAGTGGCCAGAGCTACCACTCACCTTTATCACTTGGATCTTCTCCATGTTCCTTGTGGCAGCCTCCCGGGTGTGAACCAGAACTGTGAAAGTACAACCTGCAAGAGAAATGGTAGGCTCCAGATCAGGGGACAGCTAACAGAGGATCAGACACTGTTTGTCTCTAATCAGGCACTGCCGTGCCATGAGGCTGTATGATGTGTTTACCTGGGGGATTGTTGTCAAGCACAGCATCGCACACGCTGATCTTCAGGATGAAGGCACGCAGTAACTGCTCCACATGAGACAGCAGGGACTCTGAACTGGTGAGGAGACAGCGGCTGTTACTGGCAGGCAGCAAAGTACTGGGGCCTGGAGCTGCTTCCAGAACCCCTCTGCAGAGGCAGGTGTTGGACACCACGGACAAGCAGTAATGGAAACTTTACCTAACGGACAGAAGAGGCGGCTGGGTGATCTCAAAGACAAATCTCTCCACAGGGTGGTGCTCTTTATCCAGGATCACAACCACAACTTTCTCCACATCATTCTGCAAAAACAAAGATAGAAAAATGCTTTCCTTAAAACAAGCTGTCTTCTGCCCCCAGTGTTCTTCACATGCTTCTGAAGTGGGAGTATGCTTATTTGTTGTGTCTTCCAGCACTAGCTGTTATTTGGATAACAAATTGAGTACTGTCAGATTACTCTTACCAATCAGAAAAAAAAAAAGAAAACAAAAACAAATTTTTGCAAAGCCATTTCTTGCTGGATGTTAAACTGATAGTTTATTGCCAAGGCCTAGGGAGATAAAGCGCTCTAAACAGCGCATTTCTCTAGATACTGTTCTGGAACAAAAGAGGAGATGTACAGCCATCTCCTTGCATCACTCTGGAATGGACAATGATAAGGAAGTTAAGATACGCTTAGATCATTGGCCAAATATAGCAGCTTTGTACTATCATAATGTAAGACTGATTTACTCCCATTCTCTAAATGCATGTTAAGGTTGTCTGTAAAGAGCAGAAAATTCAAAATCTGCCAGCTTCCTACCTCCTGACGTGTTTCATATGGTCACACCTTTCTCTTACAAAACCTAGAATTCAAACAAACCTTTGCTTGCTAGCTTACAGCAACGTATTCAGACTGCTCTGCCAGAAAGGTGCTTAAACTTCAAGGTATTCAAAAGTAGAACACTAACATGTAAGATGAGGTAACTGAAAACATACAGATGTATATCCTCATGTGCATTTATTAGATGTAACTAAATGACAACGATCAGCAGCAAGGCAGGGCCTTAACTGCAAGCAAAGGTTATGGAGGCTATTTTTAGTAACTTTATGAGCTAGTATATTGTATATGGTAAACTGTAAATAAATTTTGCAGTAAAGACTATTTGCGTTCCTTTAGTTTCTATCAAAATCCCTTGGAGTACTTTTCCCAGGTGCCCAGTAGGATCTTGCCTTCTCAAGCAGCGGCTTTACGCAGTGCAGCGTGTCTTGGATGTACTGATTCAGCTCCGGGTGGCAGGACATCTGCAGCAAATACAGGGAATAGTCAGAGCTGTGTTCTGATGTGAACCAGGACAATGCTGAACAGGAAGATTTAAACAGAAGCACCAGTGTGTTACAAGACACTTGAGTCATGCTTCAAATAGCACTATTCACTGCTAAGTTGCCGATTTGAACCAGTAATTCTTTCA